CACACACATGCAGACACACACACACACACACAGACAGACAGACAGACACAGACAGACAGACACACACACACACACACACACACACACACACACACACACACACACACACACACACACATGCAGACACACACACACATACATACACACACAGACACACACACACACACACACATACATACATACACACACGCATACACACACACATACACACACACATACAGACACACATGCGCACACACACACACACACACACACATGCAGACACACACACACATACATACAGACACACACACACACACACACATGCAGACACACACACGCATACATACAGACACATACACACATACAGACACACATACACATACACATACAGACACACATACACATACACACATACATACATACATACACGCATACATACAGACACACACACACACACACACATACATACATACATACATACACGCATACATACAGACACACACACACACACACACACACACACATACATATACATACACATACAGACACAGACACACAGACACACAGACACACATACACACACACACACACATATAGAGATTCTCTTTGTGGTCCTCTTTGTGACTGACCTTCACAGAGTCTGATCCAGATCTCGCTAGGACCCGGTCTACAGTTGTGTTTGATCTATCTTTAGGGGGTTAGGGTTCTTCCCTGGACCTCCTGATTCTGCAGGTTAAAGTCCAGTTAAACGATTCTGAACAGGTGATGGATATAAAATCAGGGGATTGTCTGAGGTCGGTTCCTCTCGGTCTCCTTGTACATCAACGTGTCCCCTCGCTCCCCGCTCGGGCCGCCACGCGTCTTCGTGCTGGACGCTGAGAGAGAGAGAGAGAGACAGCAGGTTCTAATGGAGCACACACACACACACACACACACACACACACACACACACACACACACACACACACACACACACACACACACACACACAGATACCCCTTCCCCGCTGGCCTGCACTCTCACCTGAGCACGGTGACCTCTTGAACATAACGCCTGGCTTCACGTGGTCAGGCTCAGTTTACAAACAGGCGGAAAATAAAGGGACGCGTGGTCGAGTCGGCGTCCTCGTGGTCGAGTCGGCGTCCTCGTGGTCGAGTCGGCGTCCTCGTGGTCGAGTCGGCGTCCTCGTGGTCGAGTCGGCGTCCTCGTGGTCGAGTCGGCGTCCTCGTGGTCGAGTCGGCGTCCTCGTGGTCAATTCGGCGTCCTCGTGGTCGAGTCGGCGTCCGCACATCAGAGAACCTGACTCAGCTCCTTTACTCACTTTGAGTCTTATTGTGAGTCATGACTCCGGGGTCCTGAATGAAGGCCGACCACGTCGACCAGCTAGCTTGACCATGCTATGAAAACAACCAGCAGCTAACAATGTCATGCACGTGAGGTCAGATCCCACAAAACAATTACTAATTAATCATGCACACTCGCCCCCCACTGGACAGGGAGTGTACTGCAGGTGTTTCACACATGGTTAATGACAGCGCCGTGTGAGCGCTGGACACCCGGTGATTCTAATCCGTCATTCCATTCTAACAGTCAGCCTTCAGATTTTTCCGTCATTGTTGACAGAATTGATTGGTCAACGCGACCTCTGGTGTGTGTGTGTGTGTTACGAGATGTTTCCCCACAGCGTGAGAACACAATCCGTGTATTGTTTTATTATTCAGTGAATTAAAACACATGACAAAGACAAAGCAGCGTTAGCTCGCTAATCCCCCTCATTCCCAACGTACGCCTTCAAAATGCTCTTTCATTGGCTGGAATGCTAATCAGCCTGTTGCTCAAGGAGCTCAGCTGATTGAGTTTTAAAGTTTATAATCTCATTAAATTTGCTCGAGGTTTCTTTGAAAGCAGAGACAGCACGATGAATGTTCACCTTTCTGATGACGGAACATTTCATTTTGAGAGCGTGAACTTTGGACTGAGCCGAGCTCCTAAACTACGTTAATCTCCGGCTGGCTTCACATTTTGTTTTCTGGCATGAGAGCACGTTTGTTCTGCTCGTCATCCTAACTCTGCAATAAAGTGTTTGGTCGTCAGGTCGTAGTCTGCTGCACCGAGTCGTCAGGTCGTCGTCAGGTTGTCGTCAGGTCGTCGTCAGGTCGTCGTCTGCTGCACCGAGTCGTCAGGTTGTCGTCAGGTCGTCGTCAGGTTGTCGTCAGGTCGTCGTCAGGTCGTCGTCAGGTCGTCGTCTGCTGCACCGAGTCGTCAGGTCGTCGTCAGGTCGTCGTCAGGTCGTCGTCAGGTTGTCGTCAGGTCGTCGTCTGCTGCACCGAGTCGTCAGGTCGTCGTCAGGTTGTCGTCAGGTCGTCGTCAGGTTGTCGTCAGGTCGTCGTCTGCTGCACCGAGTCGTCAGGTCGTCGTCAGGTTGTCGTCAGGTCGTCGTCAGGTCGTCGTCTGCTGCACCGAGTCGTCAGGTCGTCGTCAGGTTGTCGTCAGGTCGTCGTCAGGTTGTCGTCAGGTCGTCGTCTGCTGCACCGAGTCGTCAGGTTGTCGTCAGGTTGTCGTCAGGTTGTCGTCAGGTCGTCGTCTGCTGCACCGAGTCGTCAGGTCGTCGTCAGGTCGTCGTCAGGTTGTCGTCAGGTCGTCGTCAGGTCGTCGTCAGGTCGTCGTCAGGTCGTCGTCAGGTCGTCGTCAGGTCGTCGTCAGGTCGTCGTCAGGTCGTCGTCTGCTGCACCGAGTCGTCAGGTTGTCGTCAGGTCGTCGTCAGGTCATCGTCAGGTCGTCGTCGTCTGCTGCACCGAGTCGTCAGGTCGTCGTCAGGTCGTCGTCGTCTGCTGCACCGAGTCGTCAGGTCGTCGTCAGGTCGTCGTCAGGTCGTCGTCGTCTGCTGCACCGAGTCGTCAGGTCGTCGTCAGGTCGTCGTCAGGTCGCCGTCGTCTGCTGCACCGAGTCGTCAGGTCGTCGTCAGGTCGTCGTCAGGTCGTCGTCAGGTCGTCGTCAGGTCGTCGTCGTCTGCTGCACCGAGTCGTCAGGTCATTGAGGTGTAAAGAAAATGTCTGTAACCAAGAAGAAACATTAAAGTTTATGATCTCTGTTTGTTCACACACACACCTGGTCTCTCACACACCTGGTCTCTCACACACACACACCTGGTCTCCCACACACACCTGGTCTCCCACACACACCTGGTCTCCCACACACACCTAGTCACACACACACACACACACACACACACACACACCTGGTCTCACACACACACACACACACACACACCTGGTCTCTCACACACACACACCTGGTCACACACACACACACACACACCTGGTCACACACACACACCTGGTCACACACACACACCTGGTCTCTCACACACCTGGTCTCTCTCACACACACACACACCTGGTCTCTCTCACACACCTGGTCTCACACACACCTGGTCTCACACACACACACCTGGTCTCCCACACACACCTGGTCTCTCACACACACACACACCTGGTCACACACACACACCTGGTCACACACACACACACACACCTGGTCTCTCACACACACACACACTCACACACACACACCTGGTCTCACACACACACACCTGGTCTCTCTCACACACACACACCTGGTCTCTCACACACACACACACACCTGGTCTCACACACACCTGGTCTCTCACACACACACACACCTGGTCTCTCACACACACACACACACACACACACACGCACACACACACCTGGTCTCTCACTCACACACACACACACACACACACACCTGGTCTCACACACACCTGGTCTCTCACACACACACACACACACACACACCTGGTCTCTCACACACACACACCTGGTCTCACACACACCTGGTCTCTCTCACACACACACACACACACACACACACCTGGTCTCTCACACACACACACACACACACACACACCTGGTCTCTCTCACACACACACACACACACACACCTGGTCTCTCACACACACACACCTGGTCTCACACACACACACACACACAGACCTGGTGTCTCTCTCTCACACACACACAGACCTGGTGTCTCTCTCTCACACACACACACACACACACACACCTGGTCTCTCACACACACACACCTGGTCTCACACACACACACACACACACACAGACCTGGTGTCTCTCTCTCACACACACACACCTGGTGTCTCTCTCACACACACACACACACACACCTGGTGTCTCTCTCACACACACACACACACACACACACCTGGTGTCTCTCTCACACACACACAGACCTGTTGATGTAGACATGAGAGGCGGGCCGCTCTCCATCTTCTATATTTGTTCTTTGTCCCTTTATTTTTCCTGCCAAGCGGCGCCAGCGTCTGATCGTAACACAAAGCATGATGGGAAAGAGCGGCGCGAGGGTATAAATAGGTTTGTTTGTCCCCGGAAACATCACTAATGTCTTTATCGGGTGTGTGTGTAGCATACATGGTCAATAACGCTGATTAAGAATCATTTGTCTTTCTCTCTTTTTCCTGATGGAGCACTTTGAAGCTTCAGCTGAAGCTTTAGATCTGCAGCCTGAGGCTGGATGATGACATTGCCAGATTTATGTGAACTGGCCCTTTAAGAAAAGTAATTATCAGGATCAGAGAGGTCAGAGACCGGGATGGGTCCAGGTCTGCTGCTGAGTGTAGGGTGTGAGCAGCCGAAAGCAGGTTTCATTTTAATAAAGACAGCATGGTAGGTGTGAGGACACACACACACACACACACACACACACACACACACACACACACACACACACACACACACAGTATAAACACACCCCCGTTCAGTCCCTCCACTGTGAAGGCGACATGAATCTTTGCTGCACGTTTCTTTGTCCTGGTTGACTCCAAGGACTTGTGTGTGTGTGTGTGTGTGTGTGTGTGTGGAGATGCCCTAGTAAAAAGTGGCACTCTAACGTAGCTCATATGAGTGCATGCATCGCTCTGGTTCGTCTCTACTCACTGAACGTTGTCTTTTGTTTTGCAGTCCATCATGGAGCAGTTCAACCCCTGCTTGAGGAACTTCATCGCCATGGGAAAGAGCTACGAGAAGGCGCTCACCAGTGAGTACATCAACATGTCTCCTCTCTGGCAGAGGGCGAACTGACCCGCCTCCTCTTTCCTCTCAGGGACAGATGTTCACTACTCTCTAGTGTTGGTAACATCTGTCCCCTCTCTTTAACTTGTTTTAGGCTCCAGAGGAGAGCATTACTCTGCAGAGCGTGTCACTGAGTGTGTTTGTCCGTCTGATTGTTCCTCTGTGATGTTGTCCTCACGTCTTTGTCCTCCTCTTCATTGATCCTGAGTATCTGCCTTCTTTGTCATCGCTTCTTGTGGCTTGCACAGGAACGTTTGTTGGTCCTGAGTGTGAGAGGCATACATGCTGAAAGACAAAAGCTGTGGAAATGTCTAAGTGGAGCATGAGCCAATGGGAAGTGGAACAGGAGCCCCCCCCCACAGGGCCCCGGAAACCAGAACCAAGGGATCTGGTATTTAGGACGAGATAGTGTGAAAGTGAAATCTTAAGAGTAGAGAAACGTTAATGAACATGATGTTAGAAACATCATCGTCAGATATCATGCCGCTTGTTGTTCACATCAAGATATTTCAGATGGTGCAGCCGTTAGTCACATGCTCATACAGATGTGAAATGTAAAGCTGTGTGCTCAGAGTGAAATGCAGGGAAGACAGCAGCCCACAAAACCAGCAAAGGAGGCCTCACTGGTCTCCGATAGATAAGGCTAAAAATAGCCCTGCGACTCCCTGAGAGGGGATTACACTTCATCAATGCCAGGCAGCGGCACACAGGCAGGAGTAGAGCAGAGCGGGCACCCAGCGAGAAGAACAGCAGCAGAGCCTCAGGGTGAAAACCTGCAGGGAGGACTCAGGAGGACTGGACTGGATGTGAAGTCTGAGTGTAGTTCTTATTCAGATCTTTAGTGCAGCACAGAGATCATCTCACCTGGGGAGGAAAGAGAACAGGAAGCATGGACTTGCAGGTCTGAAAGTCAGAGGTCAAACTGAGGGGGAGACTGGGGTCTCCTTTCATGAGGGATCTAGACGATGTCATGTTTCATCCAATGTTTACTGCGAGGGTATGAGAAGACCTGATTTACTCTGGAAGGAGAAATGTGTTGATCTCATTTAGACTGACGCTCTGCTGTTCTGATCCTCTCAGCACGTAGACCCTTCCTCTTCCTCCTCCAGACAAACACTCATCCTGCCTCCACCTCGCCACGCTCCCCACACTTTAGCTCTTACTCAGTATGTCCCACCTGGGCTCGAGCCCGGCTGAGGAGCAGCCATGAAGGGGTCTGTGGGGGTCTCTGTAGCTGTGTTCAGGTTTACTGTCATTGTTCTTAGTTTGGATGATAAAGTGAACGCAAGCTAAGAAATGAAAGAAGAAGTGTTTCCAGCAGCCGGACGCCCTCTTCTTCAGGACAATAAGCCAGCAGACAGCTGTGGAGCCTCCTCACCAAAACAATGAGAAGGACAATCTCTCTCAGAATAGATCTACATTGTTCACAGATAGAAACACTTTGTCATTCCCTCTCCTGGGAGCCTCATTACAGATCCATATGTATCTCCCTCCTGGACTTGTGTCCACTGTCATCCTGCTTTCATTCCCGCTTGCTCTTTCTTGCGGCCATCTTGTCCCCATATTTTGAGGCCTGAGTCAGCGTTCTGTCTGAGCCGGTGTCCCTGTGTGAATCGCGGCTGAGTGCTTTAGCTCGGCTGTGGATGCTTATTGTGTTTGTGAGAAAACATTCCAGTCGGGACTTGTTCTGAACATTTGATCCTTTAAATGAGAGAAACTCGTCTCTGCTGGCGCGTTAGCATCTCTCCATGCAGCACGCTAATCAAACACCTTGATGAGGACATGTGGCTTTGTTTGGATTGACTGTTCTTGTGTTCCTGTCCAGGTTTTAGCAGCTTCAAATCTCAATATTATGAAACAACATACCCATTGGCAGGTTTTGAATCTGTGAAATGGGAGAGTGTTGTTCCTGACAGATGGCGGCTGCTTGGTTCTTCTCAGAGTCTCATTGAATTCATATCCAGATCCTCCAGCGGGTTTTGTTGACTCCCTAATGCTGGACTGTACCGGGTTTGGAGCCCACCCTCACAGTGTGATCTACTACACTAACTAGAATCCAGCCTGAAGCTGTGTGCATGGCTCGATGAGTGATCAGTAAAACCGGCTCTTCTGCTTCTGATGGCCTCTATAGCTTTTTCTCTGTTACCTGTAGTTGCCTCCATAGAGCTTTCTCTTTTCCTGCCTGGTCTCCATTTCCGCCTGTCGCTCTTTATTTCCCATGCCCACCCTTACCTCTCTGGGGGGAGGGCTGTAGAGGGGGGGGTTGCATCAACTCCGCACCCTTTGATCTGATGCCCAATGCTTCCATGTTTCCAGGTGTCACATATGCTGCAAAGGGCTACTTCGACGCTCTGGTGCGGATGGGCGAGATGGCCAGCGAAAGTCAAGGCTCTAAGGATCTTGGTGAGTCCTCGTAGTGGCTGTAGCGCCCCTGGTGTGGTGGAGGGGGGTTGAAAAAGCAGATTGTTTATGGGAAGGCTTGGTGCTGTAAAGCAGAAGCAGCTGACGAGCAGACAGGACATACACTCACACATCATCCCCTGCTTGGTTCCTAAAAACAGAACAGCAGCCATTTTTAGCTCTTCTGAGCCCCTGATTTATTTAAACACACTTTCATTTGGGAAGAATTAATTCCACATGTTTGTCACAGAAGCCATTTGGTTAATGTCCTTTTGTCCTCACATTCAGGAAAGATAAAGGCTCTCTTTTAAATCCCTGAGAGCAGATAATAAGTTCACCCCCGTTAGTTTAAACTGCACACACTTTGTGTTGGACTGAAGTGAGGGACACGTTTCCCAGCATACAGCATGTTGTTCTGCTCATTCCAGACTCACCTTTAAAAAGAATGGGTCAGGCTAACAAACTGAGATCTACATGTGAGAAAGGCCTGTGCTACAGAGCCGGTCACATGCAGGGGAGCGTGACGAGTCAGCGTTAGTCCTGGATCACTGCCTTCTCTTCCTCTTATTGAAGAGAGCAGGACTGAAGCAGCCAATGAGAGGGCGGATGGAGGTAAAGGCCATTAGAGGAGGGGGCAGCTGACATATTCAGGGATATAAAAGCCACCTTCATTATTGATGGGGAGACCTTTTTAGGGTGTTCTTCTGGAGCTCCATCACTTCATGTATTCCTCCCTAACCCTAACCCTCACAGTCTGCAGAGTCCATTGAGCTTCAAGTCCAGAACCTGTGAAGGGGTGGTGTTTGAGGCTGGATCAGGGGCATCAGGGATGTTTTCAGGGTTCACACGGTGTTGTAATTCTGCAGCTTGGACTGAACAAACCAAACTATGACTCATCTTAAAGCTTCAACTTTTAAAATCCACCTCAGAAGAGAAGGAAAAAAACAAACATCAGTTTGAGAATGAGACTTTTGTGTTCTGCGATTTCTAAAACGTCTTCTTTGTGTTCATTAATTAGAAGGGGAACGAGCCCGTTTCTCAAAGGGGGAGGCTGAAACCTTTGTTATTCTCGGGCAGCTGGGAGAGTCTAAAAAACAAAGTCATGAACCTTTTACACAAACAATGATGATCTGGTCTTAAAAAACACCCTCAAATTTAAACTACAATCACCTTAACAACATATCCCATCATGCATCTGGACATTGTCATGATCATGGATGTCCGTCTTACTCGTTTGTCTTTTGAGGTGCACTCTGTTCTTGGAAGCCAATCATGACTCAGCAGAATCCACTGCTTCTCTCTGAAAAGATGTCATGAGTTTGAAGTCTCACTGTTGGACTCGGCTGTCTGGTGATGAGGCCGGAGTGTGACTGAACGTAGTAAACGATACTGTGGAGGAATGTGAGGTATCTGAGTGAAACTTCTAAACAGGTTCATCCACCTGCTGCAGCCTCTACCTTTACCAACTGTCATTGACTCCTGTTTCTCCACATGACGTAACCATGCAGAGACCTCGACAGCTCAGTCAGTCATGTGTACAGAGGTGAAATAACCGCTGACCCCTGACCCCTAAACCTTCATGAACCTGTAATTCAAGATCTCGGTGCTCCGATCATAGAGGCTTGTTTTAGAGCAAGAAAGGGTTTCAGTAACAGAATTATTCTCTTTCGGTTCAATAAAGACAAATCATCAAAAAGGGTGTAACCCTAACCCCTGAACCCCAGACCCAGACCTTGACCCCCTCAATCCCTGAACCCCAGACCCTGAATGAGCCCAACTTTAGTTTGTCACCCTAACCCAGTTTGAGCATCAGATTGTGTTATCTTCGTCTCTGTAATAAAGGAAGAGGAGAGAACCCTCTCAGCTGTCTTTACATAAGTTCACCTGTAGTAGGCGCTCCACATGTCATTATCCTTCTCCGTCGTAGCCCATAATAATCCAACACCTCTTCATTCAGGACGTTTGTTAATATAGGACAATGTTGTTCATCACCACACGGACAGCTTGACACAGGAAGAGGAAGTGACGCCTCACTGTTTTTCATTCAGATATTCTTTATTTACATGAAGCTGTCAGAGCTGAATAACTGCTCTGCTGCACGGAGAGATACTCGACTGCACTGAGTGCCATCCTACTCGTCCTCTCTCTCTCTCTCTCTCCCCCTCTCTCTCTCTCTCTCTCTCCCACCTCTCCCTCTCTCTCTCTCCCCCTCTCTCTCTCTCTCTCTCTCCCCCTCTCTCTCTCCCCACCTCTCTCTCTCTCTCCCCCTCTCTCTCTCCCCACCTCTCCCCTCTCTCTCTCTCCCCACCTCTCCCCCTCTCTCTCTCCCCACTCTCTCTCTCTCTCTCCCACCTCTCTCTCTCTCTCCCTCTCTCTCTCCCCACCTCTCTCTCTCTCTCCTCCCCTCTCTCTCTCTCTCCCCCCTCTCTCTCTCCCCTCTCTCCCCCCTCTCTCTCTCTCCCACCTCTCTCTCTCTCTCTCTCTCTCTCTCTCCCCCTCTCTCTCTCTCTCTCTCTCTCTCTCTCTCTCCCCTCTCTCTCTCTCTCTCTCTCTCTCTCTCCCCTCCCCTCTCTCCCACCTCTCTCTCTCTCCCTCTCTCTCTCTCTCTCTCTCTCTCTCTCTGTGTCTGTGAACACCCCCGCATTGATGTGGGAGCTCAGGCAGCCCTGGGAGAACACGCCGACTCTGCTCACTCGTCCTAAAAATAGATTAAATGAAACGCCTCGAGTGGCACTGCTTGGAAGGAGGAGGAGGAGAGGTGGAGTACGATGCTCGTTCTGCAGTCCATAAATGGATCGTCGTGATGTCAGTACTGCTGAAAACGTCTTTCTTCCGTTGACTAAATATGGACATCGTTGAGAGAAAAAAATAGGAAGCTCCTGCAGTTCCGGTTCCCCTCTTTGACCAAATCAGGGCTCTGCCATTCAGATGCAAATCAGGCAGAGGTGGTTCCACTCAGTCTGAAGGAGGCACACAGAAAAGCATCCATTTTGGCTCCACTGATAATCTGTGGAGGTAAATATCAGAGCCTCTCTTTTAAACTTATTCAAAGACATCTGATTTTCAACCCTTCATCAGTGAGGGGAAAAGGTGTCTTCAGTTTGCAGCAGGTGTCTTCAGGTGTCTTCAGTTTACAGCAGGTGTCTTCAGGTGTCTTCAGTTTACAGCAGGTGTCTTCAGTTTGCAGCAGGTGTCTTCAGGTGTCTTCAGTTTACAGCAGGTGTCTTCAATTTACAGCAGGTGTCTTCAGTATGCAGCAGGTGTCTTCAGTTTGCAGCAGGTGTCTTCAGTTTACAGCAGGTGTCTTCAGTTTACAGCAGGTGTCTTCAGGTGTCTTCAGTTTACAGCAGGTGTCTTCAGTTTGCAGCAGGTGTCTTCAGGTGTCTTCAGTTTGCAGCAGGTGTCTTCAGTTTACAGCAGGTGTCTTCAATTTACAGCAGGTGTCTTCAGTTTGCAGCAGGTGTCTTCAGGTGTCTTCAGTTTGCAGCAGGTGTCTTCAGGTGTCTTCAGTTTACAGCAGGTGTCTTCAGTTTACAGCAAGTGTCTTCAGTTTGCAGCAGGTGTCTTCAGTTTGCAGCAGGTGTCTTCAGGTGTCTTCAGTTTACAGCAGGTGTCTTCAGTTTACAGCAAGTGTCTTCAGTTTGCAGCAGGTGTCTTCAGTTTGCAGCAGGTGTCTTCAGTTTACAGCAGGTGTCTTCAGTTTGCAGCAGGTGTCTTCAGGTGTCTTCAGTTTACAGCAGGTGTCTTCAGTTTACAGCAAGTGTCTTCAGTTTGCAGCAGGTGCCTTCAGTTTGCAGCAGGTGTCTTCAGGTGTCTTCAGTTTACAGCAGGTGTCTTCAGGTGTCTTCAGTTTACAGCAGGTGTCTTCAGGTGTCTTCAGTTTACAGCAGGTGTCTTCAGTTTGCAGCAGGTGTCTTCAGGTGTCTTCAGTTTACAGCAGGTGTCTTCAGTTTACAGCAGGTGTCTTCAGTTTGCAGCAGGTGTCTTCAGGTGTCTTCAGTTTACAGCAGGTGTCTTCAGTTTACAGCAGGTGTCTTCAGTTTGCAGCAGGTGTCTTCAGTTTACAGCAGGTGTCTTCAGTTTACAGCAGGTGTCTTCAGTTTGCAGCAGGTGTCTTCAGGTGTCTTCAGTTTGCAGCAGGTGTCTTCAGTTTACAGCAGGTGTCTTCAGGTGTCTTCAGTTTACAGCAGGTGTCTTCAGTTTGCAGCAGGTGTCTTCAGGTGTCTTCAGTTTGCAGCAGGTGTCTTCAGTTTGCAGCAGGTGTCTTCAGGTGTCTTCAGTTTACAGCAGGTGTCTTCAGATGTCTTCAGGTGTCCTCTGGTGTCTTCAGTTTACAGCAGGTGTCTTCAGGTGTCTTCAGTTTGCAGCAGGTGTCTTCAGTTTACAGCAGGTGTCTTCAGGTGTCCAGTTTACAGCAGGTGTCTTCAGGTGTCTTCAGTTTGCAGCAGGTGTCTTCAGTTTGCAGCAGGTGTCTTCAGTTTGCAGCAGGTGTCTTCAAATGTCTTCAGGTGTCTTCTGGTGTCTTCAGTTTACAGCAGGTGTCTTCAGTTTGCAGCAGGTGTCTTCAGTTTGCAGCAGGTGTCTTCAGGTGTCTTCAGTTTACAGCAGGTGTCTTCAGGTGTCATCAGTTTGCAGCAGGTGTCTTCAGTTTGCAGCAGGTGTCTTCAGGTGTCTTCAGTTTACAGCAGGTGTCTTCAGGTGTCATCAGTTTGCAGCAGGTGTCTTCAGTTTACTGCAGGTGTCTTCAGGTGTCTTCAGTTTGCAGCAGGTGTCTTCAGTTTGCAGCAGGTGTCTTCAGGTGTCTTCAGTTTGCAGCAGGTGTCTTCAGTTTGCAGCAGGTGTCTTCAGGTGTCTTCAGTTTGCAGCAGGTGTCTTCAGGTGTCTTCAGATGTCTTCAGGTGTCCTCTGGTGTCTTCAGTTTACAGCAGGTGTCTTCAGGTGTCTTCAGTTTGCAGCAGGTGTCTTCAGTTTACAGCAGGTGTCTTCAGGTGTCTTCAGTTTGC